TTCCAAAAAGTAGCATCTGATCCAGAACCCAAAGGATGATTAAGCTTGACGGAAGGAAGGTGGGAAAAGACAGTCCAGGCAGATAGAACAGAAAGTAGATTGTTGGGGCTAGTAAACTATAATCTACTTCCTAGTTTTATAAAATTTTATTGAAGGGCATCCCTCAATAACTCCCTCAGGGGTTAAAGTCTCAACACTATCAAGCTGTCACCAGCCACTGCAGCATGAGTTCAATCCCCAGTCAGGGAGCTAACCCACATGGTGCAGCAGACCTCTCCTGTCTCACCCGTTGCTCCTCAGCAGTGTATTTCAGTAGATCTGCCTGTTTTGCTTTCCACTCTGTCTCTGATGAATCCTCTTACCCCCTACACCTCTGGCCTGTACCCCAGCTCTTGTATGCATAAATAAATAAATCTTTAAAAAAAAAAAAAGATTGGGAACGTAATTTAACATGGCACAGGAATCTTTCAGTGCTATTCATAAAAACTCTAGTTCTTCAGCCCCACCCCTCTACTTCACTTCTCAGAGAAATGCACTTTCCTGTCTGCTTGAGTCTACTTGGGCATGGCCACCATGTGACTGGCCAACTAGATGATAACAAATCCTATCTGGAGCATTTCATTGCCAACAAGACTCTCCAGAGTTCTCTTTCCCCTCTGGCAGCATTATTGAGATGGTCTTTTCATCAGCTTGGGTTTCTAACTACAATAAGCATGGCCCACTTTGACCCATTATGTTCAAGTTTTGTGAGCAAGAAATAAATCTTTACTGTGTTACAACTTAAAATGTAAACTTTGAATATAAGACAGAAATTTTGGAATTGCTTGTTATTGCAGTACCACCTAGCCTATCCTGACTGCTATAACTTAACTGGGAGAGAGGACATTAACAGGGAGAGAGATTATAGAGAATATGGGATTAATAGATTTCAGCTCTTTGCATTGAAGTATTGAGTCAGAATAGGAGGGAGAATAACCGGAAAGCATGAGGTATTGCTTAGAGGATTGGATTCATTGCAAGGTCAATAGTATGACCATGGCAGTGGGTTGCTGAGGTGGAAAGAAGAAAGGATTTTTTTTTAAGATTTATTTTTTTATGCACACATGAGCTGGAGATGTGTGTGGAGTGGGGGGTGAGAGGATTCCCCAGAGACAGAGCGGGGAACATAACAGGCAGACTGACTGAAATACACTGCTGAGGGGAGCAGCGGGTGAGTCAGGAGAGGTCTGCTGTGCCATGTGTGTTGCACCCTGGCAGGCCAGGGGATTGAAGTCGTGCTGCAGTGGCTGTGGACAGCTTCATAGGTTGCGTCTTAACCCCTTTCATCACCAGGGAGGCCCCAAAAGAAGAAAAGATTTTGAAGGAGGTCAAGAATATGAGAGGACAGAGGATAATTCCCATGTATATTGAACTTGCCAAAGAGTAAGGCTGAAGCAGTGTTGGAGAAATTAACAGTCTGTAGTTTCTTTTACCACAACCAAGACAGAAATGCCCGGAAGGCAGGGACTTTTGTGCTCACTTTTTTGTACCCAGAGTCTAGAGCAGTATCCAGCACACACACACAAAAAAAGGGCACTTAGTAAATATTTTATGAATGTATGACTCTCTGAGAAGGAGAATCATCCACCATACACTTTGACAAGTCAATCTAGCACAGGGAAGAGACTTCCTACCAGTTCTTATTTCCTCACGCCATTTTTCAGCAATTTTCCTTCCCTAGACCACAGAGGCTGTTGAGTCTTTGTCCAACCTAGTCTGCTTGTTGATCTATCTTGTTGTTGCCAGAAATCTCAAGGAGCTACTTTTTAAATTCATCCCCAGTGGCTCACATACTGGCAGCTCTAGCTGATACCATCCCCCATGATACCAAAATCTGGCATGTGCTGCTCCCTCATTCCCACATCTAACTCCATTTAGAAAATGTTCATTCCTTTTCTAGAAAGGCCTCAGATTCAAGCCCTGCTTTTTACCACCACCATCCCTGAATCACAACTCAGACTTTCATCCTCCCTTCCCGGGGCACCTCCTAACCTCTCTGCTTTCTCTCTTTGTTTCTAATCCCCCTATATTATCTAATTATCTATTGCTCTGTAACAAATTACATTAAAATTTTTCTAAAACTTAAAACCACAAACATTATCTCACTGCTTGTGGATCAGGGATCTGGGTGTGGCTTACCTAGGTGTCTCTGGCTCAGAGTCTTTCACGTGTCTGTCAGCAGGTGTTGGCAAGGGCCACAGAGTGGGAGGGTCTACCTCCAAACTCACTCATATGGCTGTTAGAAGTTCTCAAGTACTTGCTGACTATTGGACAAACATCAATTCCCTTACACATAGGGCTCTCCATAGGGCAGCTTACAACATGGCAATGTCTTCCCTAAGAGCAAATGAGCAAGAGAGAAAGAGAAAATACACAAGACAGAAGTCATGGGCTTTTTTTGTAATCTAATCTCACAAATGATAACCCACCACTTCTACTCTGTTCATTAGATTGGACTAAGTAAGCCCAGTCTGTACTCAAGAGGTAATTACACCAGGATGTGAATATTGGGGTACAGGATCACTGGGGGCATCTTAGAGACCACTTAGAGACACTTCCTAGTGAGCCATCTAAGTGAAAAACTGACCTCTTCTCTCTGCTCAGAAACTTCTGATGACTTATTGTCACCTCCAGGACATGGCCCCTCACGACATATTCCAGTCTCCATTTCATTCTCATCTGCCACTCTGTATTCCAGGTCCCAAGAAAGGATTCTGAGTATAATACCACCATTCTCTTATATACATCATTCCCCTGATTTGAAATGCTCCCCCAAATTCCCCAGATTTTTCTACCTGGAGAACCCTACTTATCCATTAAGGACTTGTTTCTGCCAAGTCCATCCTAACCCAACAGGCATTTGTGTTGCTGACTTAAAAAAAAAAACCTTCCCTGTGAAGGAAATAGTGAATTTTATTCTTGGAGTCAGAAAGGGTCCCAGCCAGCTGCTTTCTTCACCCCCCTGAGATAGGGTCCAACTAATACAGCACTGAGACAAGCAGGGTTTCTCAGTTTAAAAAAAAAAAAAAAAAAAAGCAGTCACATTAAGGCAAACACATTAAAGAAACAAAACACTTGTTTTGTGGGCATATGATCATTTTTGACAGTGATACGCATGCTTTAAACCGGGGGTCATTATCAATGTGACAGATGCAATCTGTGCATAAGGAAGGCAAGAACTTTAAGAGATAAAAACCTATCATTAAAAAATGCCTGATTTTGTTGGACACTGTGGGCCTGTGAGTGGCTGGGGATAGGGGAGAAGAGGTTCCAGGCTTCAGAAGGTGGAATTCAGCAATTCCTGCTGATGGATGTGACAGGGCAGGGCACGTTTTCACAGCAATCTCTTTGTTCTGCCGATTCAGTCTCTGCAGGTCTATTTTCCAAACGTGTTGATCTCCTTTCACAAGGTCTATCCCTAGTCAGATCTCCTCTGCCACCATTTGCTTTCCACTAACACAGCACTTAGCAAACCAAATCATAATTATCTACTGGGAGAACTCACAGGATCTCAAGTTTAACATGGTCAGAAGTTTATTTCTGCTGATTTTTTGTATCAGTGGGATTGGGCAGGATATGGATCTTGGAAATATCCATTCTGACTTTTCTCAGAAGTCTTGCCCCTGGTTTGGGGGACACGTTCTAGAATCTCACCATTAATTGGAGGTATTTAAATTCCCAGCAAGCAGTTATTTGGTAACAGGGTCCTATTAACAAATACATATGCTGCTATAAAGACAATTATGGTCACCACAGTCTTACTCTAAGAACAGGAAGAAGGCTGGGTGTGGATAGGGACTGAGAGTTTCCTCCAGAGTAGGCAGAGACACTTTCCAACCCACCTCTACTAGTTACATCTCTTCTAGAAAAGTTACTTCACATCTCAGGCTCAGTTTGATAATTTGTAAACAGAAATAAAGTCAGTGGTTAATATGATGCTCATGGGTCAGATGCTCTGCTTTAAATATGTTCATTTATGTGATCATTAAAAAAATAGTATGAGGTAGGTACTATTAGTCCATTTTACAGATGCAGAAATCGGCACAGATAACGTGTGCCAAGAAACACAGGTAATAGTTGCCAGAATTAGGATTCCAGCACAGGCAGGCCGGAGTTGGTGCCTGTGTCCTAATAGACACATCTCGGTTTTGTGTGGTTTCAATGAAATAATGCGAGTAGCGCACAGTTAAGTACACTTTATTAGTTTAAAATGTAAAACAGGGCCTCCCTGGTGGCACAAGGGTTAAGACGAAACTGTCCGCAGCCTCTGCAGCACAAGTTCGATCCCCGACCAGGGAGCAACCCACATGGCGCAGCAGACCTCTCCTGACTGGCCCGCTGCTCCCCTCAGCAGTGTATTTCAGTCAGTCTACCTGTTTTATTCCCCACTCTGTCTCTGGTGAGTCCTCTCACACCCCACCCTCTGGCCTGTACCCCAGTTCTTCTATGCATAAATAAATCTTTAAAAATAAATAAATAAAGTGTAAAACACCTTGGCCCGGAAGTCAAGCATTAATTTGTTCAAAACTCTACACATCCTGTGTGTTTCACCAGGTGTCTCCTCTGGAGCATGGAAAGCAGGGGCGCGGGGATGCCCGCGAACAAGCCACCCGCAAGCCCGACGGGCCTCCAGCCCTTTAACCCTCGGCCCCGCCCACTTTCCGAGTGGAAGCGGAAGTCGCAGGTGGGCAAGGCGCCCACTTCCGCTGTTATTTCGGGCCTTTCAAGCCCCGCCGAGACCCGGGCGCCCCCTAACCACGACGCCTCCGTCCCGGACTGACCCCTTCCCCTGGGAGCCCCGCCCTCCGCGGAGCCTCGGCTCCCCATTGGTGAGGCCCGGCGCGGGGTCGCCCCGTCTCTCAACCAATGGACTCCGTTGTCTGTTGTTCGTAAATTCAGCCCCTCCTCCGCGCCGGCAGAGGACGCGAGAGCGCGTGGTTCGGCGCGCGGACACGGAAGTGACGTCACGCCACCGGAAGCCGCGGCCCCCGGGGTGACGGGGCGTCGAGAAAGCTCCGGTGTCTGGAGTCGGAGCCATCGGCGTTCCGCGAGGCCGACATTAAGAGCATAGTTCCCAGCCCTGACAGTGTTGGGGTGGGGGGAGATGAGAAAGCTGACGCCCCTGGAGGAAAAGTGTCGCTCATATTCACTCAGCGGAGACTCCCGCGACCGTACCGTACATTGGAGGGCTTGCCCCTAGAGAGGAGTCCCTGAGGCAAATCTTACAGAAACACCCCCATTCCCAAGATGGGGTACGCAGAGCCCAAAGGGTGACAGGGATTTGCCAGCAGAGTTATCAGAAAATGCAGGACGCCCTGTTCGAGTTTCAGGTAAACAAGTTTTAATTAACGGTTTCTCAAATACTGCTATGGGCCTTAAGTTTACGAAAAAATACAGCAAACCACACCCCCAACCCCAACCCCACCCCCCTGCGGTCAGTACCAGTGCCCTCTGCAGGGGCTCTGCTGTTCAGGGGCTGAGAATGGGCCTCAGGATTCAGGGGTTCTGTAGACACTAAGCACCTATTCTAAAGTGCGTGAGCCTTGAAGGGAAACCGTGAAGATCATTCCAGAGAGAGGGGATAACAAATGCAGGCCCAGTAAGGCTGCCATGTAAGAAGGGCTTGAGGACCAAATGGGTCAGCGAGAGCAGAGAGTGGTGAATAAGGGCAGGAGAGAGAGTCCAGGAGGTAGTTGGGTGAGGGTTTTAAATTTTGTTCTTGGTGAAATGGGAGTCCGGAGAGTGACGGATCTGGCTGCTGAGTAGACCCTGGCGGGGAGGGGGCTGGAGATGGAGCGCGAGCACGCACACCACCTGTGCAATCAGTTGTGCCAGAGGGGTGGAGCACCATAAAAACCCAAAGGCAAGACTCTCAGAGCCTCCAACCTGGTGAATGTGTGGAAATATTGAGAGTGGGGTGCCCAGAGAGGGCGTGAAAGCTGCGCACCCTTTGCTCATACCTTGCCCTGGGCATCTCTTCCATCTGGCTGTTCCTGAGATCTAGCTTTTTATAAACAGCCAGTAATCTAGTGAGTAAAGTGTTTCTGAGTTCTGCCCTCCTGACAATTTAATTGAGCCCAAGGGGAGGGAGGGGTTTGGAACCCCCAGTCTATAGCTCCTCAGAAGCACAGGCGACAACCTGGATTTGCCTTTTACATCTGAAGTTGGGGGTGGGGTGGGGGATGGTCTTGTAGGACTGAGCCTTAACCCTTGTGATTGAGCCATGTCTCCAGGTATAGATGGTTCTAGAATCAACTGAGTTGTAGCACATGCAGTTGGTGTCAGAGAATTGCTACGTGGAGTGGAGCAAGACACACTTTATAGGAGGCTTACAGGGAGTAGCTCGAAGGAAGATGAAGACAGTGCCAGTGAGGTGTCCAGAATAGGCAGATGGATGGAGAGGAAAGTGGATTAGTGGTTGAGGGGCTAGGGGCAAAAATGGGGAGTGACTGCTAGTGGGTACAGGGTTTCTTTTTGAGGTGATAAACATGTTCTAGAATTAGTGGCAATGGTTGCACAAACTGCAAATATACTAAAACCCACCAAATTTACACTTTGAAAGGATGAATTTTAAGATGTAAATTGTATGATTTTTTAAATTATGAAAGAAAAATCTTTAGCATTATATTAGTTGAGGGAATTCTAAAAATCTAAACTCCATTGCTAAGCAACGCACACGTCCAAGATGTATATCTGGGACCCCAGCACTGGGAAAGGGGCCTTTGAACTGCCAGTCTGAGGAGATACCAACCGCAGGACCTTGGCACTGGGTGTGGCAATACTCTGGCCAACCCTGTTCAAACAGTTGCTTGAATAAGTGAGACCAACCACCGCGTATTTGCTTGACTCTTACTGCTTTGCTGGTCTGCAAAGAGAGGGTACAGTGTTCCTCAAAATTTCCCAGACACCCATCTCTTTGCTCTTTATCTTTGGTATGAATTTCCAAAGCTGTGTCAAATACTTGATTGCCCCCACTCTGGTCTAAGTCTTAGGCTGGGAGTTATGGTCAAAGAGACCAGTTGTGAGCTGCAGCTCTAGGGCTAAAGGGAGAACCTCTGACCTCCAACTCAATCCCTGACAGCTCAGCTTCCCTCATGAGGCCAGGCAGGGAAGCCTATAAAGAAGAGAAGGAGCCTGTGGGAGATGCCCATGCTGCAGCCAGCTCAGGACTGAAGCACAGCGCGTGGGCATCAGTGTGGGGTGCCTTGTGCAGTGAAGTACCAGATTCCACTAGAGTAAAATAAACCTAAATATTTATTTGGTTCATATTTATAAAGGTGGGAAGGAGACCAAGGGAGACCCCAAGAACACCCCCACACCTGGCTGACCAGGCCCCTTGCCCTGCAGAGGAGGCAGACACAGCTAGAAGGGACAGGATTTATGTTGCATACTTTAACTACAGTGAGTGTAAGACTGGTCCTATTTACAGGGCAGAAACACTACAGGTGGAGTGTGGGGGGCAGCAGAGCAACACCAGAGTCCTGGCCAGAGGGTACTCTTGTGTGCCACCTTCCCCACTTCTCCCAGAAGCATCTCTGCGGCCCCGCTGGGGTTCTTCGGGGGGGAACAGGGCCCGCTCACATGATGCTTGCCGGGGTGAAGACAGGGCCCACGCACAAGGTGTCTGTGATCTCCCAGCCGCAGGACAGAGGCTTGCACACGCCCTCAGCATCCTCATCCTGTTCTGCAGGCAGCAGCTGCCCTCGAAGGGCTTCCCTGCAAGCAAGAGGAGAGCACTGGAGGCTGCTGAATGGGGCCTGCAGGCAGGGGTTTCTGAGGGCCCCTTCACCAGAAAACCAGCCCCCCTGGGCTTGGGATTCTCATCAAGCCCCAGAGCCCAGCCTAGGACAGGGACAGGGCAAGGCTTGCTGGCCCCTCATCCCCCATTACTCTCTTCCCCCATAGTCTGCACAAGAGAAAGTTACCCAGATTTATTGAGCAGTTACTATGTGCATCTGTGTGCCAGGCACTTTACTTACATTATCTAATTGCATCCTCCCCCAAACCCATAAGGGCAGCATTATTAACCCCATTTTACTGACACAGAAATTGAGACTCAGAAGTTACCTGCCCTAGGTCACATCCCAGGAAGGTGGTAGAACTAGGAGTCAACCCGGCTCTCACTCCAAAGCCTACATTCTCCGTACCCCAGGGCCTAGTACTTTAAACATATCATCTGCCACCCTCAAAAAAGTCCTACAACCTGTTTCTCCTCCTACGTACCCATGTTGATAAGCAGCTCCATCATCTGATCAGCTGTTCTAGCTACAAGTTGGGAATCTTGTTCCCATACCCGGTTGATCCCTGCCAAGCCCAGCTCCTCAATCCCCACTGCCACGACTCTCAAGCCAGGAATGCAGTCTCCCTGGTCTGTTCCTGCCCCCTCTGGACAACTGCAGCCCAGATTCATCTTTCTAAAAGGCAAATCCCTGCTCTCAAGTTCCCAGCAGCTCCCCTCTGTTCTCAGGGCCTTCCAGATCTGCCCCCGCCTGCTTCTCCAACCATATACAGCCACACCACCTGGCTACCGTCCACAAAGGCCATCCCATGCATGTGCATGCATGTGCGTGCACACACGCACACACACCCATACAGTCTTACCATGAGTGCCTGTCTGCTTCTCTGTCACTCACAGGGCTCTGAGCTCCTCAAGGGAAATTCAGTGTCATTCAGGCCACAGCCAAGCACAGGCCTCATGGAATTACACAGAAGTAGGGTCTCAAATCCCAGGTTTCCCTCATTGCTTCTGCCCAGCTGCTCCCTTCTCCCCCAACTCCATTTCCCAACAGGGCCCCCTTACCAGGCCACCCTAGACATGGCATAGGTGACACTGCAGGCCTGGGCGCCCCTGATGAGGGAACCTGTGCCCGTGGTGTAAGCGCCCATGTTTTCAAAGACCAGCCAGTCCCCAACATGTAGTGGCGGCAGCCACAGGCCCTCAGCTACGCAGTCGCAGCCGTCGGCCGCTGGGCCCCACAGGCTGCTGCTGTACAAGGGCTGCTCCGAGGATGGTTTCTGCAGGAGAGAGGGGAGGCCACACTCAGCTTTTCTGTCCATGCTTTGCACAGCCTTAGCACTTCCTCCCTCAGAAGCCTGCTGTGGCTCCCACAGCCAAGGGAATAAAGACTGGAAGGCCCTCCCACTTCTCTGCATTCATCTTCTCTTATATTCTGAAGCCACAATGCCTGCTCTTAAATCCAGGCTTCAACACTTGTTAGCTGTGTGGCCTGGAGCAAGATACTTAATCCCTCTGTGCCTGAGTTTTCTAATTCATAAAATTGGAATAAGAGTACCTACCTCATGGGGCTACTGCAATGATAAATGAATACAGGTAGAGCATTTAGAACAGTGTCTGGCACATGGGGGTCCAGTAAGGGAGCACCATCATTATCACAGTTGCTGTCACCTCTCTGCTTCAGTCTTCACTGGTCTGTCTGCCGCTTTTCAGACCTGGGTATGTCTATGTCGCCACAGACCTTTCCCCTTCTGGTTGTCCTCCCTGCCCAGCCCTAGGATTCCCTTTTCTATGAAATCCTCCCAGGTCCCCTCATTCCATGCCAGGCCTAGTACCAGGACCAGAAGAACACAAATGAATCTATCCAACCGTCCCTCAGGCGCTGGCTCTGGAACAGTCAGACCTCCAGCAGACCACAGGGTGGCCTGGCAGAGGTAGATATAACTACTCCCATTTCGGAGAAACTGAGGCTCTGAGCAGTTAAATGACTTGCCCAAAGACACAACTACCAATTATGTAGAATTTAAATTTTTTTCTTAAATGACTTCCAAATCCAGAAGGGAAATCTGTAACATACTTTATGGTCAACCAGGATAAAAATGCCATGTCAGTGTGGAGGTCCTGCCAGCAGGTCGGAGAGTTGGGGTCATGACTGAAGGATGCACAGGAGCCAACCCTGACTCTGCCACTCCAGGCCTCACTCCACCCCATCACCCCCAACCCACCCCCACCCCGGTGCAGTGTTTCACTTACTCTAGGTGTTTGGGCCCCCCAAATAAATCCTGTTTACCTCCCACCCCCAGTCTTCCAGCTGTTCCCTGAAGCCCCACAACTGCCAACTCCTAGTTTTCCTTTAAATCTCAGCTGAAAGGGCCTCGTGGAAGCCCTTCCTGAAATTCCATGCTCCAAAGCTTTGCTTTCATCACACTTAACCATAATTATAGATATCTGTGAAATGTATCTGTTCAGGCCTGTCTTCCTGTCAGACAATAAATTCCATGAGCCTAAAGATCATGACTGTCTTGTTCACTCCCATCTCCTCCAGGCCTAACAGTATGGCACACAGTAGGTACTTTTTAGAATAACCTATTTTAAATAAGTGAATGAGTGAATGGGAAATACCTGAGTAATGAGAAAGAGAAAGGACAAGAAAGAAAAAAGAAATGAACAGAAGCCAGAGTATCTAGGAAGAAGCAGTGGGGAACAAGGGAGGAAAAAGGAAAGGTGTTTTCCATACCTTAGCCAGGAGTAGAAATAAGTAAAATTGAGAAGGAAAGATCACAGATTCCATAAGCAGAAATAATATCCACCCATTTGATTAAAAAGTTAATAAGCGGGCCTCCCTGGTGGCGCAGCGGTTGAGCGCTGGGTTGCGAAGCTGCGCGCGGCCTCTGCGGCGCCGGTTCGATCCCCGGCTGCTCCCTGGCCACCAGAGGAGGGTCCCACATGGCGCGCAGACCTCTCCTGCCGCCCGCTGCTCCCCTCAGCAGTGTGCTTCGGTCCTTCTGCCTGCTCTGCTCCCCGCTCTGGCTCTGGTGAATTCTCTCGCCCTCCCGCGCTTCTGACTGTACCCAGTGCATGTATAAACAAAACAAACAAACAAACCAGCAAACAAATAAATAAAGCATGCCTCTATAAAAAAAAAAAAAAAAAAAAAAAAAAGTTAATAAGCATGGGCCTCCCTGGTGGCACAGCGGGTTGAGCACAGCATGGTGAAGCTGTCTGCAGCCTCTGCAGTGCTGGTTCGATTCCCGGCCGGCCAGGGAGATGCCCACATGGCGCGGCAGACCTCTCCTGTCATGCCCGCTGCTCCCTCAGCAGTGTATTTCAGTCTGCCTGTTCTGCAACCCACTCTGTCTGTGATGAATCCTCTCACCCCCTGCACTTCTGGCCTGTACCCCAGCTCTTGTATGTATAAATAAATAAATCTTTTTAAATAAATAAATATATAAAATTAAAAAAGACAAAAATATATCCTTGTTCATACAAGTATTATATTCTTGTTTCTAAGCTTTTTGTTAATTAAATGAATCTCAGAATTATTTCCTTCAGCTCCAAACATTAGAAAAATTAAGTCAACAAGACAGCCTTGGGGTGATGCCTGGAGGAGGGAGGGGGAGAGAGAGAGAGCAAGCGAGAGAAAGGGCAGCCTTTGCAGACAATGGCAAAGGGGCAGGAATAGCAACCAAGAGGAGCTGCCATCTCACTGGGTCTTAACTCAGAAGAAGGGAAAGGGAGAGAAAAACAAAGCACATATTGCATACTGCACACCAAGGGGCCCATTGGGCACTTAAGTTTCCTTCTAGAAGAGGAACTGCTCAAGCAAAAGCCAGCAGATGTGAAAACACAACAGTGTGTGTGATTTTCTTTTCCCTCTTTTTACTTTTAGGAACTGACCCCAGTGACCAGAGATGCATGTCGAGATATACTTGAAATGCTCGAAAACAGGAAACGAAGGAGCACCCACTAGACTCTGACAGGTTAGAACATGATGTAGCCATCCCAATGCATGTCTGAGATCTGGTTAACAGCATGGAAATAGCTATACCCATATCAAGGGGAGGGTGGGAGGCGAGTTACAAAACATTGTGATCCCAACTTTATGGGGGAAAAAAATGTATATTACATTTTTTAAAAGACTGAAAAGAAATCTAATGTCCACAGAGTCTGTATGGTGAGATGATGGTGAAAACCTTTACCCTTTTATCTGTTTTCTTCAATGAATATGTTCCACTTTGTAAAAATTAGATAAAAGCACCCCAAAAATAGTTTTTTAAGTGCACACGCACCCATGCATATACATACTTGAAAACAGACCGCTGCAGGCCAGCTCACCTTCTGCAGGATGGGGGTGGGGCAGGTGTTGTCAAACAGGACTGAGCTGAAGCTCCCATACACGCCCTCGTGGAGGTGGTACATGATGGTCTTGCTGGCAGAGCCATTTTCCTCTGTGGTGGGGAGGGGACAAGGGCAGCAGAGCAGCAGTGTCAGGGGTGGGGGTGGGGAGCTGGCACAATGGTGGGATCAGTGAGGTTGATAGGTCACTAAGGCTAAAGGGCTGCCCCTTCCTCAGTGAGGAGATGGGTCCTGCACCTTCCTGAGGCATCAGGCTCCCAGCCACACTGAAACACTCACCTTGCTGCTGACAGCTTTGCCCAGGACACACTCACCACCTGCCCCTGAGCCCCTCAATGCCCCAGCAGAGGCTGAGGGGCAGCCCACCTGCACCTAGTACCCAAAGAGCTTGAGCTAGAATGAGAAGCTAGGTCCCCTAGAATGAGAAGCTAGGGGACTAGAATGAGAAGCTAGGTCCCCTCGCTGGACTAAATAGGGTAATCCCCCAGTTCTAGAAAGGATACACACACACACACACACACACACACACACACACACACATTAAACCTGAAGCCCATGATCCCTCCATATGAACTGCCATTGGGAAAGAGCACACAGACCTCAGCTCTCCTGCCAGAGAGTCCCACAGCAGAGGGCCAAGCCCCCAAGATTAGGGTCCCCGACACTCCTCACTCATAGGGCTTCTGGGAAGCTATCAGGAAGGGCAGGGGAGCACTGGTGTTGGCAATGTGGACAGAGAAGCTTTGAGGCAGGCTAGCCTGAACTTGAATGCCAGCGCTGCCGCTTATCAACCGTGTGACCTTGGGCTAGTGACTCAACCTCTCCATGCCTACATCCTGTCATCTATAAAATGGGCTTAGACAAATATAAGTCGTCATTAATCATTTTCATTAATCATACTAAGGCCCAGCTATAGGATAAGTGAGCCTGTTCTTGGAAAGGAGACAGAAATGGGGTCAAATGCAGGCTTTACCTTACTGTTATTAAGCAATCAATGTATATTGTCTGGCTCTAGTTTCCTCATCTGCACAATGGAATTAATAAAGTAACTATTCTCCCTAAAATCCTAAATAGGTCTTAGGAGTGAAGGTACTTGATTGATGTGAATATGCCCTGGCTAAGCTTCAAATGTGTGCGTGGACAGGGGTCAGGCAGAGCTGGGTGTGCAGTGGGTTCTGCAGAGGACTCAAAAAGTGAGGTAATCTCTATGAGCTTCAGTTTGCTCAGCTATAACATGGGATTAATAAGTGAGATAATCCAGGTAAGTCACCAAGCACAGCACATAGGATGTGCTAAGAGTGGGCTCCCTATAATCATTATAACCTCCTCATGACTCCCACCCCCATCCCATAGAGCCCAACACAATGCTTCCAGCCCAACGGTCACCTCTTCAAATCTCATTCTGGTCCCCTTCACTCCAGGGAAGCGGCCAGCAAGGTCTAGGATATGCATACTAAGGTCCAGTTAAGCCCATAGTAAGTTTCCCTAAAGCAAAAACCCATTCTCCAGATTCCCCCGCCCCCTCAAATCAAACCCTGCTTTGCCAGCCATGGTCCCTAGCTTCAGGGAAAATGGGGCTCCGTTGCCCAGCTGGCACCTACCCTCCCTGCCAGGCTGTTCCAGAAGAACCTCCTTCTTGGCGATGATGCTGACTGCCAAGGTGAAAGCTGAGGTCACGTAGTAGCGCCCCAGCTTGGCAAGGATGTCCACACCACAGCCTTCCGGGAAGTATAGGTCCAAAGCTGAGTTAATCACAGAGGCGATCTGGTGGCAGGGTCAGGGAAGGACAATTACATGTTTGAAAAGTTGGGTATATACTGAAGACAGCTCCAAGTCTATTTCTTGAAAGCTTCTGTGATTTCAGGAAGACAAACTTGGCAGCTGCTAAGGCCCCAGCTGGTAACTACAGACAGCAGACCAAGGAGGGCGGGAGACAGAGCTAGGTCAAGCCCCTCGTGCTTGAATAAATCACCCTCCTCAATGTCCCCACAGTGCTTAGCATGCAGATTCAAGATGCCCTGGTGTGAACCTTTCTTACATTAATAGCTCAGCTGTTAAATGACACCTTTTTTTTACAGAAAATACAGACAAGGAGAAAGATGAAAGTCACCCCTAATTCTATCACCCAGGTTAACCTAATAAATGTTAACTTTTTGAAGTAGCTTCTCTAATTCTTTTTTCATACAAACACCATTTTTATTTTAAACTTAATAAGGCTATAGTGTATGTCTTTATAACCGGTTTTATTCAATAGATTGTGAATGACCTCCCCATGTGTTTTCATCACAAGAATGTGCCATATAACCAATTCTCAAGAGCCAGATGGACCTGGGACGTCCACTGGACTTTTGTTAGGAACAAAGCTACAAAGCTCATCTTTGAGGCTAATTCTTTGTGTCCATCCCAGATGATGAGTCAGTTTTCCTAGTTGTGGATATTCTAATCTAAGGCTCTCACAAGGAGAGGCGACCCCTACTGGTTGGAGTGCGGATTGTGATGACAGCTTTTTCTTGACTTGGACTTAAAACTACAGATGGGAAGGAAACTGATGGACTGGGAGTGGACAGATGGGCTTTTCCTTCCTCTGCCCTCCCATTTGATGTCTCATTGGCCCACCTGAGAGTGAATAGGTCACACCCACATCCTCAAAGAGCCTTATGACTTAGGCAACTATGCCCTGGTTAATCAGTGTGTGCATGGGCAGGAGTCAGGCAGAGGTGGGTGTGCAGTCATCCCTGCAGAGGACTCAAGAAGTGGGGTTACCTCTATGAGCCTCAGCTTGCTGAGCTTTAGTACATATTAACAATAAGTGAGATAACCCAGGTAAGACACCAAGCACAGCGCATAGGACCTGCTCACAGTGGGCTCCCAATAATCATTATAACCCTGCCTGCCTCTCTACCCCCACCAAGACTGATGCAAAGCTCCCAACCCCAAGGTTACCTCTTCGAATCTCACTTTGGCCCCCTCTGCTCCGGGGAAACCACCACCAAGGTCCAGGATGTGCATCCCATGACCCAGCTCGGCACCCATTTCAAACACAAGCCGGGCATCTGCGATGGACTGAGCATAGGCCTGAGGGTCAGGGCAGCCACTGCCAATGTGAAAACTGGAAAGGGAGAAAGAGCCTCAGCTTACATGAAGGGCCCAGAAGCCACCACCTCACCCCCAGACAGGAGAGACCTTGGGCAAGTGCACAGGACACGACACTCATTTAACAGATTCAGAGACCAAGGGCCTGAACAGTTAAATGAGTTGCCAAGGGCCGTGTGGCAAGTGACAGTGGACAGGAAGCTAGATCCAAGGCCTCTGGGCACATGGTGCTTCTCTCATCCTTCCATGATGGTCCTGAGACTGAGCCTTCTGGGATAAGGCTCAAGGCCCCAGAGTCAGTCCTATCTGGATGACTCTCAAGTCAACACCATGGCCTCCCTCTGCTTTAGTTTCCCCATCTATAAAATGGGGCTAAGCATCCAAAACCCTGTGGGATTATGTGCATTAAGCATTTAGGATATGACTGGCACATCCCACGTTCAGAATAAATGGAAGCTGTATTGTTAGGTCATTACTGTTATTTCTTCCACATCCCTGCAAGAAAAGAAGCAGAGCAAAAATATGACTGTAAAACTTTTGGACTACGGGCTAGTAAAATTTGCAGAGCCAGGCTCCTCCTGGAACATCCCGAGACAAGAACTTCAGGGGAATGATAGGTTGGGATAGGGGGACACTCTTAACTTCCCGCCTAAAGAGAGGAAATTCCCAGATGCCAGAACTCTAGGGACAGGCCCTCCATGGAGGCCTTGAGGAGGTCTCATAAGAAGAGGGGGGGGGGCTTTGGTGTGGGTGGGGAAAGTGGGGCTTCCTGATGCTCACCTCACACCTACTACCTCCACATGGTTCTTCTTGGCATCTTCAAGCAGGTGTCTGCAGGATTTCAGCGATGCCCCAAATGCAAGGCTCAGGCGGCTCAGGGAGTGGGAGTCATTGGTGGCAATGCACAGAACCATCCTGGGGAGACAGCAGCACAACTCTGCGGGCGGACCTCCCCTCCCCCCACCCCAAACACATCTCTGAAGCAAGGGTGTGAACCCACTGGCTCAGGGCCCCGACCTCGCAGGCAGGCTCAAGGTCCCCTTCCTCTCCCTGCAGCCAAGCCACCTCTGAGGCCTGTCCAATTCATTCCCTAAATGCCCCTGGGCCCATCCTGGAGGCCCCATCCTGGAGGGCCCATCCTGGAGGCCAGGCCCTGGTCTCAGCCTCCACTCCAACCATTAGGGGGCGCGTCTCCCTTAGTGAGTCCTTCAGCAGGGAGTCTCCACTGCCAGGAACTGAAGCTAAGTGCTCCCCTGGATTGCTCCAGTTCCTCTGAATCAGCCTCTATATCGGCCAGAGCTTTCAAACTTTTCTTGTAAGAGGGGTACCATTTTTTAAACACAGTCTTAAGAACTCCGGTATTGTGTAAAACAGACAAAATGGAAGCTGCTTGGGGTGAACCAAAGTAGCCCACAATGTAGCCTCCCCTTTACCAGGAGCTCCCTCCCTAGAATCCCCACAGTCTGGGTCCAGCTCTGACCCCTTCCAAAGCCCATTTGCATTGGGCCCCTGACCTGCCGCCAGCATCATTCACTGTCTCCCTCACCCCTCCCACATCAGATGTTCCAGTCACAACAGATTTCTGCTTTTCCCTCAAATGCCCTACGCTGTTTCCGACCTCCATGGGTCTGCTTGTGTGGTTCACCTGACGTGCTGTTGAGGCCTCTCCAAATTCTGTTCACCCCATAGGCCCACTTCCAGTGCCGCCTTCTGCATGAGACTTTTCTAACCACCCCCTCTCGCCCCCTCCACCTGACTGACCCTCACAATAGCGTGGGCTTTGCTTTGCCTGGGATCAGTTACTTCTCCCTTTGTCCTAGGCAGGTTCTGGCATCCAGGGTCCAGTCCAGGAGTGTCCCCCCCAACCTCCTATGACTGTAGGTTCAGGGCAGGGTCCTCTGCCCCAACTCCAGTCCTCTCACCCCTCCCTCTCACAGACAGCCCGGGCTCCCCACACGAGTGGTTCTCGGCTTACTTGGCACTGGGGTGGCTCTTTACCACCTTTGCCAGCTCCATCTCGTTGTCAAAGCTCAGCAGCTGGACCCCATGCTTGGCAGCATACTTGATCTGTGCAATTTGCTTACAGGGGTTGGCGTAGATGATCTTACTGGCAGGGACACCAATATGCTGGACCAACTCCATCTCTGCCTGTGGGGTCCCAAAGGTGGTAGTGAGGAGGCACTGGGGCCTGCTGGACTTGTGAAGGCCAAAGAAGCACAGGGGAGGGGCAGAGTCATTGCTACGTATGAGAAGGCCCAGTAGAAGCAGGCCTCGCTTTTAGACCACAGATAGACCCAAGTAAGGATTCATGCTGGTTCACCATTCATTGACAGGCAGGGCTGCCACCTACAGTCGCCCAGGTGGTGCACTGAACAAATGGAGGGGCAGAAGAGCCACTCATAGAGAGTACACAGTAGATCTGTATATTTATTGCAGCTTTCTGGCAGGAAAGCATCTTATTCTAACAGAATCAGCATATTTATTATAACAAGTGCCTTAAGGAAGGGGTACATTTTCTAATGCACACAAAAGTACTAAATGGACACATGATGTTCCTGACAACAAGCTTCAGATACATCTTCCTGGCAGGTTTAAATATTTAGAGACTGTGACTTAATGTATTAAAAAGTTCACCAGACACAGGCTGTCCAGCATGCAAAGGCCTACTCTGTATGTGCCCCCCTCCAGCCCCCTTGGAGCTTTCTCACCATCACAGAACACTGTTCCACCTGATTGCTGCATAAACGGTACAGGCAGGGATGGTGGTGATGGTCAGGGTGAGAGCAACCATACTCACTGAGCACCTACCATGCAGGCACCAACGGGACGCTTTATATCAGGTGTTGGCAAACTATTTCTATCAAAGGCCAGAGAGAAACTATTTTAGGCTTTGTGGGTGATATAGTTTCTATCACAGCTGTTTAACTGCCTTTGCAAAGTAGCCCAAGACCTCCACTAGAGTGGTTGTGATTCAGTCACATTTTCCAGAATTGGGCAGTGGGCTGGATTCGGCCCCCAGCCCATAGTGTGCCCATCCTGGCTTTAGATGGGCTATTTTATTTAGTCCTTGTAAGAATCATATGAGTATTAACTCCATTCTGCAGAGAAGGAAACTGATGTTCAGAGAAGCTGTGGAGCAAGTAGGTGTAAGAAACAACCTCCAAACTCAGGTCAGACTCTGTTTAAGGGAAGGATGTCAAGAGGCAGTCAGTTAGCAACACAGAGAGACACAGGGCCATTTTCCCTCACCCTGATTTGAAAGAGGACTCTAATTTTAATTGAGCAACTTTTCAGTACAAGGTACTTCTATGCATTCTCTCAGGTGATTCCATAACTATCCTATCTATGAAGTATGTCTTGGTCACATTCTAGAGAGGTCAAAATAGAGTTTAGAGAGTCCCACCCGCCTGAGGTCACACAGTAAGTAGCAGAGAGGGAGAGAAGTTCACCACAGAGCTGACTGTTGCCATTGCTTTGCTTCCAAAGACTGTGAATCTGAGTGAATATGAAAATGTGGTTTTTGCTCCTTGCTTTAACCACATGAGGTAAGAGGAAAAAGCAGTGGTAGCACTTTGGGGACTTGTGATTCAGCTTCGGTTATAAATATTTAAATAGTAACTTTCGTTATTCACGGAAGAATTATCGTGTAGCAGCCATAACATTAAATATTTTATATACATTCTCATGTAATCCTCATAAAATCTTAGGAGATAGGAAACAGAGAGGTTAAGAGACTGTCCAAAGTCACTCCGCTCCTATGGAGCCCAGGCCTCAGACTTGGGCACACCAGCTCTTGGCCACATTTCTACACGGAGAAGACAAGCTTGACGCTGAGCTGACAAGCACTTCTCGAACATCCATTAAGTTGCCAGGTACTGTGATTGCTTTTAATGCAAACAAGCGAGGAAAGCAGGCAGGCTCTCCGATCCTGTGTTTTCAGGCTGCTGGGAAAGATGGGGACAAATGGACACTGAACAGTGAGGGAATTACAAATGGACAGGAGCAGTGATGGAAAAATATAGGCTACTGGAGAATGAGGACTGGGAAGACTTGGGGGAGGGCAAAGGACAGCCTTTCTGAGGGACAGAAATTTCATGCACCCCATAAGAGACCTCAGCCAGGCCAAGAGGGAAGGAAGGTTTCCAATAGCGAAAGCAGCCTGGACAGAGGCTCTGAGACAAGAAGGTACTCAGCTTGATCAAGGATCAGAGAATGTGGGAGTGGCCTGGTCAGGGTGAGCAGAATAGGGGAAGATGAGGCTGGAGGGAGGTAGACAGAGCTAATGGGGTCACCAGGAGGCTGCCTGTGGTTTGTATTTTACCCTGGGAGTGATGAGAAGTAGTTCGAAGGGCTTCTAGACAGGAAATGACATGGTCAGACTTGCATTTTAAATGCCCGTTGCTCTGGCTACCATGTGAAAAAGAACTGAACCCAAGAGAACTCTGGAGAGCTTGGCAACAATCACCTGGGAGAGATAACAGAGGCTGCATTAGAAAAGCAAGCAAGGTGTGTTCAGGGCTGGCCAGCAGGGCCATGGATTGCACATGGGGATGAGGCCTAAGGATATCTGAGGGGGCCTCCACTCCCAGAGGGCCCTCACCAAGGGGCAGGGAAGAACATGTTTGGACATGCTGAGTCCCAGGCATCCTGTGGGATCACATTAGCAGCTGGATCTATAGGTCTGAGCTATACACCAGAACATGGGAGGAGACAAAATTCAAGCATTTTCAAGAAAAGAGCCTGAGATAGATCCAGAGGAACTCGCCGAGTTAGAGCTGAAAGCGCCAGCACCAGGACCTGCAGATAGGTGAGGAGAGTCTCCAGATGAGACAGAGACGGTGACACAGACACGTGTGCCCTCCAGCCAAAGCAAAGCCTGTCCAGCAACTGGCACTAGAGAAGAAGGCGTCTCACTGTCACAGACGCCCGGAGGGGCTGTGGCAGACCCAGAGCGGGACCCGCATTCCTCTTAAGTACTTCTAAAGTCTTGAAAACTAGGAGCATATGTTTTATTGTTGAGTACTTATATTTTCAAAAAATAAGTTGCAAATGGAGAGTTCTATCCAACATGTCGTTTACGCGGGAGGAGTTCTAGAGATGGGCTGTAAACATTGTGTGTGTGGTTAACAACACTGTGCTGTACACCAAAACATTTGTTAGGAAGGGAAGGCTCAGGTGAAGTGTTCTTACAAAAGTCACCATGTTGAATGTTGTTATGAGGCCAGATAATAGGACCAAGGAGTGTCCCCAACAAAGTCTAATGCACCCCATGGATGGGTCTCTGAAAGCCTGCAGAGTATCTTATAGATTATTTTGTCGGGAGATGGGTGATTTGAGTAAATGGGGTCAGTTGTGTGGTGAAAAACTTGGACTTTAAGTGGAGAATTTAATGTATAAACATATTTTTAATGATGCACATGTGAAACTGATACTGTGTTTATCTCTGGAGATATAAAGCTTGTGTGCTACTTTTTTTTTCTTAATAAATGACATACTTTTTTTTACTAAGTCAGGGGAAAAATTAAGTAAAGTGCTCGCTCAGCCCCGGAGGTGGCTGGGGAGATTCTCAAGAAGAGATTCCTTGGAGTAGTGAATGGCACAGTGAGCGTGAACGCCAGGGCTGCGGGTGTGGGCACTAAGGGAAAGAGACAGGCAAGTGGAGACAACAGGATTTGGCCATAAAGAGGGAGCAATAATTTGGCTGAGGGGCGCTATTGATGGTCAAGGAAGGCTGTCTAAGATAGGAAGATGCTGAGGAAAACTGCAAGGGCAGGATGAAGGCAGGAGAGATGAGATAAGGTCCTTGGGAAAGTGGATGGGTGAACCCGAGCCCCAAGCAAGACGTGGCTAATGCCCTTGACCCTGGGGCCTGTTCCCTCCAGCCCTTGGTCAATGTGGGCCAAGAGCTGTTGAGTGTGGCTACCAGTTATGGCCGACCAGAAGAGGGCAGCCTCGGCCTTCCAAGAATAACTGCGTCCTGGAGCCACAAATGCACCCAAGGTCTGCATGATCACACCCCTCCCAGGGAGCCTTGGACTCTCCCAGTTCTTTTGGGATTGGTCAAGGGCATCAAGATTCAGTCTCCAGCTCAGCCATCCTCTTCCTGAAGACCCTGGAAAAAAGGGCAGCAGCAGTAGAGGCAGAGCCCTGTTCCCAGGCCCAGGATGCCTCTTCGCTGTGAGCCGTTCAACTTCTGTGCCTCATTTCCCTCACATTAGACGCTCCCTCCTGGCTGTTGTCAAAGCCACGGTAATAATAATTACCTCACAGGGTTGTTGTGAGAATAAAATGAGATCATGTACAGAAAACACTTGGCAAAGCGCCTGGCACAGCAGAAACACTCAGGCTTTTAATGTTCCCACTGACTTCAAGGTCTTTCAAAGCCCTGCTACCCCACAACTCTGGGGGCCTGCCCCTGGGATTCCAGAAACAGGACTCTAGTAAGCAGGGTTTGGTCTTCTTCGCCCCTCCACCACAGAGGCTGGAAAAGGATCCCCTTTCTCCTCACCCAGAGAGGAGGTGCCGCACACTGCAGGAGGCAGGGAGAGTGGAAAGTTCAAAATGGCAACATCTCTTTCCTGTGTACCTCACAGGGCTTTTTGTTACAACTGCACTAAAGTAGGTGTGCAAAGCAAGAGTTAATGCAAAGGGGCTTTGCAGGTGACGAGAACGAAAGGGTCATCTGTCACTAGGAGAGTTCACATCCAGCCTCTGATCAAGGTTAACCTGCTCATCCTGGCCATCCCACCGGTGCACGCCTTCCGCCCACCTGAAACCCCTCTATCCTTGTCACCCTGCCCAGGCTACCTCTCCTGCTTTCTCCTCCAGGCCCTCTCTAGACCCCTCTTTACAACACCCAGCCATGTTGCTGACTGGGATTTAAAAAGAGTTGTCCTCAAACCGGACAACTAGGTCATGACTTCATGACTTAACAGCATATTAAAAAAATGAACTCAAAATGGATTAAAGACTTGGACGTAAGACCTGAAGTTCTAACAGACATAGAAGACCCAGGAGATACTCTTGGCATTGACTGCAGAGATGTCTTTGGACATTCAAACCCAAGGGCAAAGGAAATAAAAATAAACAAATGGGGCCACCTCAAAATAAAAGGCTTTTGTACAGTGGAAGAAACCACCACAAAAGTAATGACAGCCTACTGACCAGGAGAAGATATTTACACAACACACATCTGGCAAGGGGTTAATATCCAAAATATATAAAGAACTCATCTAACTCAACAAAGAAAACCATCAAAAAATGGATTAAGTGGGCACACTTAACCTGGTGGCACAAGGGGTTAAGACGCAACCTATGAAGCTATCTGCAGCCACTGCAGCACGCGTTCGATCCCTGGCCAGGGAGCTACCCACATGGCGCAGCAGCAAACCTCTCTTGTCTCGCCTGCTGCTCCCTTCAGCAGTGTATTTCAGTCAGTCTGCCTGTTCTGCTCCCCATTCTGTCTCTGGTGAATCCTCTCACCGCCCCCCATCTCTGGCCTGTGCCCCAGCTCTCGTATGCATAAATAAATAAATCTTTTTTAAAAAATGGGTAAAGGACCTAAATCCTTAAGGTCCTTCTCAAAAGAAGACATGCAGAATGACAACAAGCACATGAACAAATGTTCAACTTCACTTCTTATTAAGGGAAACACAAATCAAAACCACAATGAAATATCATTTCAACCCTTCAAGACTGGCCCATATCAAAAAGACTGGAAACAATAAATGTGGGTGATGGCATGGCAAAAAGGGGCACTGGGTCACAGTTGGTGGGGATATAAATGGTGCAGCCTCTGTGGAAAATGGTATGGAGAGGCCACAAAAACTGAAAATGGAAATACCCTATCAGCCAGCGATACCACTCCCAGAAACTTATTCAAGGGATATGAAAACACTAATTTGAAGAGATGTATGTACCCCTAAGTTCATAGCAGCATGATTCATGACAGCTGAGACAGAATCAGCTTAAATGCCCACTCACAGATGACTAGAGAAATAAGGTATGGAGCATATACTTGATGTACTAGTACTCAGCTGTTAAAAATGGTGAAATCTGGGGCCTCCCTGGTGGACTCGGGGTTAAGTCTCAGTTCTATCACCACAGCCTGAGTTAGATCCCTGGCCAGGGAGCTAACCCACATAGCACAGCACACCTCTCCTGTCCCCTCAGCAATGTATTTCAGTAAATCCACCTACTCTGCTCCCCACTCTGCCTCTGGTGAATCTTCTCACACACACCCCCACTTGTGGCCTATACCCCAGCTCTTCTATGCATAAAAAATTTTTTAAAAGGGGTGAAATCTTGCCCTTTTTTGACACATGGATAGATCTTGAGGTGACCATGCTAAGTGAAATAAGTCAGAAAGTTTAAGACAATGGCCAGATGGCTTCACTCATGTGTGGGATATAAACAACCAAAGCAAACAAACTGATGAAACATAACAAAAGTATCTCATAGATTTGTGAAAATATGGTGGCTATCATTGGGAAGTGAGGGTGGACAAAAAGAGTAGGGGGGTCAGTGTGATAATGGGATTGGCATTAGGGCTCGGATGGGATATATGGGATACACACACACAGAGCAAGGTGTGAAGCCATAATCCTGAAATGTACAAAGTATTATATACCAATAGTAAATCAATAAAAGTTTATTAAATAAAATAAAAGGAGTTGTCCTCAAAGAATCATTACAAACCATAAAACACACACACACACACACACACAAAACTAATGCACATCATAAACCAGTGCTCACCAGGCATGCTGCCCCCTTGGGCCTTTTGCCCTGGCTGGTCCCTGACTGGAGGGCCCTTCCCTAGTTACCCACCTGGCTGGATCCTTTGCTTTCTTCAAGTCTGTATTGACATTTCAGTGAAATTTGATAACAAAACTCCCTGGCCAAACCATCTAAAAGTGCAATCCTTTTTTCCTCCATCCCCTACTTCGCTTTCCCACTTGCATTTTCTCAACAACATTTACCATTAAAATACTGTACATTTTTATTGTTCAATTTGCTTTTGAGAGAACACGCTTCATGAAGGAAAGGTGTCTTTTCATTTCTTCTGTTTTCTTCACTGCTAAATCCCCACTGAGAATAGTACTTAGTCCCACAGGAGGTGCTCAATAAATGTTTGCTAAATGAATAAATATGTCCAAAGCTGTATTTTGAGGAAATTTTATAGCTTTGAGGTCCGGTAAGAACAGAATAAAAATAGATAAGCCAGGCCAGCAGACCCAAGGACAACAGTCTGTCTTACTCAACACCATAGTGCCAGTTCTACCTGACCAGCACATTGTAGGTGCTCAGGGAACAGCCAACAATAGCATGTAAGCAAAGACTATAAAGAGCAGGAGGGAATTAAGACAACACCATTAATCAAATTAGAAAGGCAGTAGAATTAGCAACAACAATAACAAAACTCTAAAAGAATGAGTTAAGAAAATAATATATTATTACAATTACAAAGAAAACACCAATGATAAAAGGGTGTTTGCTTTGTTTTAATTAGAAGAATACCATGCATAGCTCTATGCCAAGAAGTTTAGAAGTCTCCATTAAAAAGATGACCCATCTGGGGCCTCCCTGGTGGCACAGCGGTTGAGCACTGGGTTGCGAAGCTGCCCGCAGCCTCTGCAGTGCCAGTTCGATCCCAGGCTGCTCCCCGGCCACTGGAGGAGGGTCCCACATGGTGCGCAGACCTCTCCTGCCGCCCGCTGCTCCCCTCAGCAGTGTACTTCAGTCCTTCTGCCTGCTGTGCTCCCCACTCTGGCCCTGGTGAATTCTCTCACCCTCCCATGCTTCTGACTGTACCCAGTGCTTGTATGAATAAATAAATCTTTTTTAAAAATAAATAAATAAATAAATAAAAAGATGACCTATCTACCCAGGGACACACAAGGTTCCTATTTCAAGACTGGCAAATTCCATGCTTGTTTCTCCCTCTCTCATCCCTGAACCCCCTTCCAAGTGGGTGGCCTCCCCAGAGGGCAGGGTCCAACTGCAGATCACTCCTGCTTCTCCTGGGCCCAACCATACCAGCAGATACGTGTGTGCAGTAGGCTGTGTAGGTCAGTATGTCAGTGAGCCGGTGCCGGCCAGGGGCTCACCTTGTTGGCACAGCTGAAGCCCAGACCCAGCTCGGCCAGGACCTTCAGCACGCCCAGGCTGCTGTTGCACTTGACTGCATAAAAGGGCCGAACTCGCGGCAGGCACTTCAGAAAGCAGAGGTGCTTCCTCACTATGGCGCCCAGGTCAGCCACGAAGAAGGCAGCAACCTTACCCTGCACAAGAAGGGGTGGATGTGAGACCCCACCCAGCTTGCTGCTTGTGCATGCCATCCAGGGGCCACCTAAGTCCCTGCCCCAAGATCAGCTCTGGCCAGGAGGCTACCCTGCTTTAAAATCCCCTGGCACTCCCCAAGCCTACCGGAGAGCGGCAAGCCCCTCAGCATGGCATTTGCAGCTCTGTAATGCAGTGCCAGTCCCCCCATCACTTGCAGCTCAAACTCCAGCTGCAGACAGGATCATTTTCCCACATCCAAGTCTTTGCTCCCACCATGCCTGCCATGTAAAATGCCCTTCCCCTACTGCTGTCTGGCAAGTTTCAGCTCAAATGCCACTTTCCCAAATGAATAAGGCAGCTCTGCCTTTGATGCCTCACTGAATCCTGCACATGCCCCCGAAGTACCAGCACTGTGTCTATGCCTGCTTTCTCCAGAAAAAGATGGAGAAGGCCAAAGCCCACTGTCTTGCACATACAGATGCTCTGTGAAACCTTGTGGTCCCACTGCCACAGTTACTGTCACCCAAGCCTGTGGACAACTGGTCACCACAGATTTGCCAAAGGCTGAGCAAGAATGCGCTGGGTGAGATCTTAAACCTTCCCTGGGACTTAAAGCTGCCTGGGCTCAGTTTCCCTTTTAGGCCACACTTTTCTACAGACACCCACTTAGTGTCTGACATCATGCTAAGGATCAGAGATAACTAGGTTTCTAGTTCTGAAGGGGTTTGGAAATGGATGAGAATAAACCCCTTGAGCATTATAAGTCTATTGAATAAAGGGGAGTTTCCACAAAATGCAGTAGAGGGCCTTGGAGGAAAAACATTCAAAATCTACCTAGGGTAATCAGGAAAAGTTGACAATGATGAGTAGCAAGGAATGAGTAAAAATAATTAAGAGAAATGCTGAGAGAAGGGTGCTCCAGGCAGAGGGGACAGGCTGGGCAAAATCATGATAAGAGCACATGGCATCCCTGAGAGCAGATACAGATTGGCTGGCTCAGTGTAACAGATCCACCGGCGAAGGCCAACAATAGGGCTGAGGGGGCAGCGGGTGCTGACTGGACCCTGTGGGGAGTGGAAAACTGCCAGAGAATTCTGATTTTGAGCAAGACTGTGATAAAGTTGGAGGGCACTAAATGAGGCCAAAAGGTTAGGTTGGGGGGCTTTAGAGAGATGAGGCCTGAACTAGGTGAGGTTCCAGACCGGCACACTGGACAGTAATTCACAGAGCTTGGCGCTGCCTCCACGTGGGGGGAAGCGAGGCTGCTGACCAAAGGACTGGGTAGTGGTGCTGTTTGTTCATCAAGGCAGCGAACACAGAGGGCTAGGTCTGGGGGCAAGGACTACACATTGGGAATAAAATGAGTCTATCTCTTGCAAACAGCAAGGACTGACTGATACCAAATAAGTGGAAGAATAAGAGGAGGCAGCTGGGCCGGCGCAGGGAACCACACCCCACCCAAGCTCAGAACCTCACCGCGGTGGCCTGCGAGGCCCCCAGAGTGAGCTCCTCCAGCAGGTCTCCGGTGCTGAAGCCCTCCTCCACCATCACGAAGTCCGATTCACTCAGGTAGCCCTCCATGCCCAGGAGGAGCCCACCGGCTTGATGGAGCCGCCGCCGCCGCCTTAGAAAGTATGCAACACACTGCAGGGGGACAGGGAAGGGGCGGCTGGGGGCTGGCCTCAGCGGCCGGGCCGGGCCCGGGCGCCCAGTCCTGTCACGCCCCGCCCCCCGCTCGCGCCTGGAGAGTTTAAGTTCTGTGGGCGGGTAGGGACGCTCAGGAAACCTGACTTCTAGACCGGGACACGATCTCGTGCGCCTGCCTGGCGCTGTCATTGCTCCGAGCCTCGGCTGCCCCGTCTGTAAAACGGGTGCATGCTTTGGAGAGCCTGTCCATTTCCGAAACTCGGGCTTGAGGGGGACGGGAAAGCATGAGAGAGGGAGCAAGAAAGCCGAAAGCCACAGGTAGGGACATTTCCAGGGCGCCCCCAGTTCTGACCACGCCCACCTAAAGTGGCTGAGCGTGGCCCCCGCCGAGGATTCGCAGTCTGAGAGCAGGAGCTTAGGTTGGAGCCCGTTCCCTGCTGCCTGACCTTGGGCGCACTACGCTGGCTCTTGGAGCCTCGGCTTCACCGTTTGTAAACCGGGACGGAGCCGGTCCTTCCGTGCTAGGATTCCGAGCGTGCATGTGGGGGTGCCACAGGAAGGGTGGGGGCCGCGGGCTCCCGAGCGAGAAACGCAGGCTGAGGTTCTGTGCCAGCGACCTGCCCCCCACCCCCCGCCCAGAGTGCAGAGCCGAGGTACCGCCCCCACATTCCCTTACCAAGCCCCGTCCTCCGTGTGGGGGCCAGTGCCAGGTGCGCTGCTAGGGGGGGTCGCCGGTGACCTCGAAACTTGTGCAACACCCCGAGGAGGAGTGGCAGTTGCGGAGCCGAGGCCCCTGCTGAGAGGAGACAAGAGGGGCCAGGGAGCAGGTCAGCACCGGAGTCCAGAACGTCCTCTCCCCCAAGGCTCCCCGAGTCACTCCCCGCGCTCGCCTTAAAACGCATTTACTCGGCTTCGGCCCATAGGTCTCCCCAGCGAGTGAATCGGTTCCTCGGCGCCTCCGCTCGCTCGCTCCCCCCGGCACGGGCCCCGCGGCCGGCGCCCCGCCCGCCCTGCAGCCACCGACCCCCACGCCCCGCCTTCCGCCGGCGGCCCTCTTATATAAGCTCCGCCCAGGCCCCGCCCCCGGCGCCCAGGCCCCGCCTCCTCTCAGCCCCGCCTCCCGTAGCCCTGGCAACCGGGTGCGGCCCTCCCATTGGCCGATTCCGACATAAAGCCTTCAACTCGGCCCCCGGCTCCGCAAACCTGCGCCTCGACCCCGCGCGCCGGTCCCGCCCCGCCGCTCCCCACGCCGAGAAACCCGAGCTGCCCCGGCACCCGCGATCCCGGCGTCTCCGCGGCGGGACACTTGGAGCCCGCGTGTGGGATCGAAGAGGGCGGGCAGGAAGCCAGGTTTCCCGGGTCCTGAGGGAAGCCTCTACTGTGACTCTCCGCCGCTGCCTCTCCTCTCCCTTCTCCGCTGACTTTTCATGCATCCCTCGAAGCCCAGGTCTAACGTCATCTCCTTGTATTACTTTTCTAATAAAATCCACTGTGTTTGACTGCCTCTTCCAGCATCTTCTGATTCCTCCAACTCAAAACCCAGCTTAAATGTCTTCAAGGGAGACTTCTTGTGGATTTTCCCAGCTCAGGGCAGTTTGTCCCTTCATTCCTCCTTCTGGGTCACACAAAGTCCTACTCACCTCTCAAGTGGAGTCGTCTCCTCCAGGAAGCTTTCTCTAACGTCTTCAACTCAAAGCATTTCTTCCATTTTATACCCGACAAACTTCTGCGCATCCGTCAGAGTCCAAGATCGCGTGGTCTCCTCCGCAGAGAGGAACAAGGGAAACTCACAGCTCTTAACCTGATGTTGCTTTATACTTCTTTTTGGTTACACTTCCCAGGTAGTTAGGGACCTCCTACGGGCAGGAAGGAGTGCCTGGCTCCTCTGGTGCCCTGGCATCAACACAAATGATGAAGATTCAATATCTCTGTGTTACTCAAAACCTGATTCCACAGTTCCCCTGGAACAGTAATTGTACAAAGACAGTGAAGACATGCTTGCACTTCTACCAGGTATTAAAATATTCTATAAAGCTACAACATTTGAAACAGCATGGTGCTGGTGCAGGAAGAGACAGGGTAGAGCAGAAGAGAGTGTAGAACAGTCTCTGGAATACTGAAGAGTTTGGTACACAATTCAGGCAGCATTTCAAATCTGTGAGTTGACATGTGTTCACATCCTAGCAGGATGTGGGCTTCTTGAAAACCGAAACAGTTGTGCTCAGCTCACTGAGAGTATAGGGCAGTACCACAGAGTCTGGGAGAGTCATTTTCTGCTCCTCATCCAGCCTTTTCATATGAGTGCTGGCTGCCCTTGACTGGTCATCCTGCTGGAATCAGAGTCACTTCTGCCGTATTTGATTGATTTTCCCTGTGAACTGAAAGGGTTCAGACTGATTGATTTCTCTGAGCCTTTCTGCCTGGAACATCCTTATTTTCTATGCATAGGAAGAGCCCTTCAGGAGGCATTCAGGTTTACAAGAGAGAACATTTGCAGGTTCATGCTTTGAGAAATGAGAAATGATTGGGAGGGGAGAGGCCAGGACAGACATGGCAGAAAGCTTGAAGGGAGCCATCCAAAAAAAGATGGCAGTAAGAAGAGGGGAGGAGCACCCAAACAAATTTTCATGTTACTTTTTTGTTTTAACCATTCTGAGCTGGCTATATTTAGATGCAATGGTCCAGGTCTCCCTCACTAGCTTTTTTCATCATCTGGAACATAGTAGGCACATTCAGTATGCTTACTGAGTGAATTAATAAACGTAAGAAGGAATGAACCAGCATCCAGTCTGTCCTTGTCATCTGTCAAGGATTAATAGATTAGAAAAAATCTGTATCCTGGAAAGGTTATGGTTTTGTATATTTTTCACTACTGGTATGTGATGTCACTAAGTCCCCATGACAACTCTATGTCATAGGGGCTATAATTGTTCCCATTTTACAGATGAGGAATCAATCTAAGGCTTAGAGAAGTTCATTAACTTGCCCAGGGTCACACAGTAAGTAAGGGGGAAGCCCTTTACTTTCAACCTGTCTGTCCTAATCCTTAAACTTTATCCTTAACGTCACCAGGTATTGTGCTGACATCCAGCCCAAAGACATGCAGCTCATCTCCTGCCCATCTCTTGTGTCACTGTTACCAATGAATGTAATGAAGAGCCCTCAAGAACAAAAAGCTAAAACAGGGTAAAGGGGCTCTGATTTCTGGCCAGGACCACATCAGCCGACTGCAACCTATTCTTCCTAAACCAATCATAATCATAGTCACAAAACTGCGGTCATGAAAATGCCTTATGTGTGCACAGAAGGGGGAGTTTACAAAATACTTTCCTGATTATCATTTCATTAAGGCTTCTTAGTACTCCATGATTTTGGATACTAATTAAATTAGTTTTAACTGAGGAAAAAAGAAAAGGCAAAATAACAGGCACAAACAAACGCAAGTGTATTCTACTATGACTGTAGTGAATCACGGGGGTGGGGTGCCCAGCATGGCAGTTCTGCAAAGTCATCAGAATCAAAGAGCCTCCTCTCTCACTTCTGCCATTCTCAGGATCTGCTGTCTAATCTCATGGTCTTAAATGACTGCTGGTGCAGCCCACCTTGGAACAGACCCTGGCCCTCCCATCCCCATTCCAGGAGACCTGAATTCTGACCCCAGGCACCAGTTGAAGACCAGGCACAGAGAAGGCAAATGTGTTGACTAATGTGGGATTATAGTCACAACCCTTTTCTAGGAGACAAGATGCTAAGACTTCTTTATGTTTATTGTCACTCTCTTTTAGGTTGAACACAAATGTGAAAAGGTAATAATAGCGTGTGACAATTAAGGAATTCACACACTTCCTCTCAAGTCAGACCTGAGTCATTTCTGAAAAATGTGATGAGAAAACAACAACCAAATAAAAAATCATCAGCTGAAAATTCTCACTTTCTCCAGCTGCTGTCTGCAGAGCCACCCAGTGTGGCGTGGGGAAGGCTGTTGCCTGTCGCCTTCTTCTGCCTTCAGAGCTTCTCAGAATCAACTTGGGGGCTTGTTAAAACATAAATGGATAGGTCACACCCTGAGTTTCTGGGTCTGGAGTGACCCTGATAATTTGCATTTCTGACATGTTCTCAGGTGCTGCTGCACCTGGGTGTCCAAAGATCACACTTTGACAACCCCTGGCTGAACCACAGCAGACAAAGAGATCGAAGCTGTGCTTCCTTGAAAGAAGGCATGAGGATTGTGCCCCCAGGCCCTCTCAACTGGGAAAGAATGATGGAGCCAAAGCCACTGTGGGCTGAGTGAGTCTCTACATGATAAAAGAACAAATGGGGACGAGGGTATATAAGCATTAGTGCATCTCCTGGGGCAGCTTTCACAGGCTGTGAGACTTATCTTCTGCAAGCCTCACTTTATTCATCTGCAAAATGGGCCTACTGAGCACCTCCTTCTTAGGGTTAGTGTGAGGAGTTCATGAGCACATAAAATCTGCTGCCTAGTGCCTGGCACACATGTGAACAAATGTGTCCTTAGTAGCAGCTCTTAGTACTATTACCCTGAACTGGGGATGTCTGGGGCCATAGGAGAAAAATCCAGAAATGTGTCTGGGGGATACTGCTGGGGAGGGAAGGGAGAAGCAGCTCCACAGGGGGTTCTTGGAATCTGACTTAAGGAACACCCAGCAGGGGTCAGAGGCTCAGGAAGTGGTCAGGCAATGTGAGGGGGTTGGGTGGTGGAATGCCATTCTATCCCCCTGGGATTTCACAGGGGCAGAGGTCAATGAGCTGAGCACTGAGTGATGCAAGCCTGACCCAAGTGGAGCTTCTTTGCAAAAGGCTGTTCTCTCCAGGGAAGGGTGAAGTCAGATGGCCTCAGTCTGCACCCCGGGGCGCTCTGCTCCCCTCCCCCACAGCAGATTGTACCCCACCTCATTTGCCTCCTGTTAACTGACAGAGACTGTGGTCTGAACCAGGGTCAGTGGAATTCACACCAGAGGGGCCCAGATGGTGTTTGCCTGTTTTCTGAGACTTCCAGCAGCACCAAAACCCATGGGGAACCACAGGGCCTTTGGATGAGCCCCCATCACAGAGCCCACATAGCAGAGTCTTCAGAAACACAGACACCAGAGTCAGAGCTCCTGCCTTTGAAGGACAGTGTCACTTCCTCTGCATTCTATTGGTTAAAGTGGGTTGCAGTTCTATCTTAGGTTCATGAAGATGTTACCACAGGAGGCATGAATAAAGGAGAAGACGGTTCATTGGGGGCCATCTTTGGACACTAGCTGCCACAAAATCCACCCATTCTCTGTACCTCCAACTGCCTCCCCTCTGAGGGCCCGTTACCATTTCTAGCCTGGAGGTTTCTGATCATTTTCTAAATATTCCCCTACTGATATCCTCCTGCCAAACCTATTGCCAACCCGGCAGTCAGAGTGTTCTTATTAAAATGCAAATAATGTCAAACTGCAAATGAAGTCAATCCCTGTAAAATCCTGCAATGACTCCCCATTGCTCTTGGGATAAAGTTCCATTTCCTCAACCAAGCCCACAAGGTTCCCGGTGGGGACCCTGTTTGAGAGCTTCATCTCCAGAGGCTCCTCACTCTCCTCACTCTCTCCTCACCACCACCTGCACCTACCTGCAGCTCCTTGACCCTGCCACACTCTTTCCTGGAGTCTTCACATTTGCTGTCTTTCCTCCTGAAATATATTCTCCACCTGACCAGTTGCTACTCATCTTTCTGGTCTCTGCTTGAATACCCTTTCTTGAGAGAGTCTGTCCCTGACACTTTGGATCAGTCAATATTTTTTTGGATGCAAGAAAGAGAAGAGAAAACCCACCTCAACTGGGCTCAGACAAAAGAGGATATTGCCTCGTGTAACTAAGCCACTGAAATATTCAAGATCAAATATAGACAGAATCCAAGAGCTCAAAAATGTCATCAGAGATCTGTTTTGCTTTGTAGGGGAGGAAAAATAATTTTCCTTCTCCCCTTCTAGGTTCTTGGCTGATACACTGAGACTCAGTTTTCCCCACAGTAAAAATGG